AAGCCGAAAGCTTTCTATAAAACTCATCTTTAACCTCGTCTGAACTGCAGTCAGTGGGGGCATAGGCAGATACGACGAAGAGGCAACAGAGAGTGACCCTGTCCATCCGAGTCCTTACTGTCCCGTTTATTCGGACAGCGCACAAGCGACTATTTACTGGGATCCAGTCAAGGAGAGTTTGTTCAGCTCTACGACCCAAAGCTATACATACACCAGCAAGACCCCTGGAAGCAGCATCAGGGCTTCCACATGCGCGAAGAGTAAATCGAGTCGCTTCTTTATTTTGACAAGGTGAAATCAAATTAATAATTTTACTAGGATTCTGTATGCGCATTTCCGAGACGCAGCACACATGTGCCCCAGAACGAGCAATAGTCCTCTATCGAACCCCTCCATCGGTGGCTGATGGCGATATGATCTAGTTGGATCCAATGTTGTGACGACTTTGTGGGTCGCCATGTCAAGAGATGCTTTCCCTCATGCCTAAAATTAGTGTTTGCTAGATGTAGGCGGTTATCTGAGCATACTTGCAACAGACGGTCGCCATTGTCTGTTTTCTGAGCCGCGACACCATAAGACCCACCCAGGTGTCTTTCCTTTTCACAGAGTCTACCTACTTGAGCATTAAAGTCACCAGCCGAGACGTAGCGCACATCGACGACCGCACGAGATTCTAAAGTCCTACCTAATCAAGCCTGTCGCCCTATTTGACATAATGTCCGTACATTAAAAGCTCCAACATGTAGTCTAGAACGGCGTTTCAAGAGACCAGGAATGACGTTTCGTGAAATCGCTTCGTTTGCATTAGCGGTTCAGTGAGATAAGGGAATGTGAGTAGAGTTAGTTGTGAAGAGAAGAGAGGAATGTGTGGGCGTAGGAAGGATTTGATTTTGACCAATTTGTTCTCATGTGCTGTTACGGGTATGAGGGCGGTTGTCATTTCCCGGCTGCCCACACAGTGGAAGGGTGTTTCTTGGGGAACCTAGAAAGGAAGGTAGATTAATGTCGGTCTTAACGACCGCGGAGCCCAAACGACAACTGATTGAGGCCGGTCACGCACGGCCTTTTTATTAAAGGTTTTTTGAGTATTAGCTCCGCTCTTAAAAGCCCTTAGTGGGCACCCTTACCGCCGGAGACGGAAATCTGTGAGGTAGGGTGTGGAGTGACATTTTTAGGGTCGACCTTTTCTAACCCTTCCTTCCTCGTGAGAAAGCAGCATCGCTCCAGATGTTGGTTGTCCGAGGGAAACACCTTACTGTTGTCACGCCTCCCTCCAGTTAGCTGTACGACTTTGCCCTCAGACCCGGGGGTGGCTTCTTTTAGTCTCATTGTTCTCCATTATACCTGCTTGGCATGGTAGAACCTTCGGGAACATACGTTCCAGACAGTATAGCTCGGTTGGTTGATCACGATCGACAAGCTCCACCACCACGTCAAGGTAGCAGCTACGGTCGGGGGCAACTAGTGTATGTACACACGAAGTCCTACTTTGTAACTAACTAAGTGAAGTTGATTCACTGCCCGTCTATTTGGTATCGTTCTTCAATATTCAGTCGCAAAAAACCTATATGTTACTGTTGGGTCTTGTGATAAAGAACATCTTATTTAAACATAAAGAATTGTGTTATATCTTTAACCCTAACCTATCCGCGAATGACCTTTTAGTAACCAATATACAACTAGTACAGAAGACTAAACTACTCTATGCTCAAACAATGGCCCAATACTAACTTGCCCTAATCGAAAAAGAAGAACAATGATCACTATTCAAAGATTTTTTCCTCATAATAATTCAAACATTTTATATCTACGTACACACACGCACGCACAACTTAATCACATTGCATCGATAAGTGGAAATGAACAACTGTGCATGGGTGAGCTATTAGGATATTCATCCAATATCCTAAGAGAATTATAGGTCAATTCCTATTGGTTAATTTCTACTGGTCAATTTTATGATCATCCTAGATATCAATGTCACTTGAAATGTTGTTTCTTATTGGTCGTCTTAACTGCCAATGTCACAGACTTCGATGCTGTTTCCTATTCGACCAAAGTGTATAAATACGCATTATCTGTAATGTTTTGTGACCAGGGCTAGGATTCGGTCCGGGATCATGATTCTCTTCTGGATTAGGACCTCGTACTTTCTGAATGCTTATAGAATACAGATTCTACTTCATATCAGGTCTCCTTATTTTTTACTCAATATTGGGGGTTGGGATAATCGGATGTGAGTAACATGTCGTGTCGCCAGATCCTCGAACCTCGCTCTCGTATTCCGACTAAGATATACTCGTAATAGTTCAAGCATATCAAAATAACCTGTTCGCGTGCAGGCATAACATGAGCCTAAAGCGGTTATCAGCAGGAGAGATTGTAAATAATTTCTGTCAACAAAATAGAAAGAATAAATCGTATGATAATGATTTATAGATTAACATATTGGGGCAAAGATGCATCTAAATATTTATTCCCCATACATATTATTGAATTTGTGACTGGTCTGGAATACTGCCTAGGTGCGCTAACTGACGCAGGTAATTTTCTAGGCAGGCTACGCCCCGAGTCTCTGACACAAAGGTATAATCTGCAAGACAATGGAACAACGTCACCAGATGCAGTCTTATGGTGGCCGGTAATCAACAATAGGTTCATATACCATTCGTTCCGTCAGGAACCTGGGACTCATGTTCACCATTGGTGTTTAGAACCAGAGTTACGCATGTACGTGACTAGGTCAATTTGATACGCCTGAACTATTACGAGTTCGCCTTAGTCGGTGAACGGGAGCGAGGATCGATGATTCGGTGACGCGATAGGCTACTCTAATCGGGGTGTCTCAAAACCCCCATTGAGAAGAAGACTTGATATGAAGTAGAACGTGCATTCTACAAACATCTAGAAATTACGAAGCGCGAGTTCAAAAGAGGATAAGGATTTCAGACTAAGTACCCGGGTCATGAAACGTCACAGCTAATGCAGGTCAAATAGGAAACAGCATTGAAGTATGTGACATTGATAGTTAAGACGACCAATAGAATTAGATGAATATCCTAACATTTTCCAATTTCCCTAAGTAGATCTCCTATACGTACCAAGCCGCTTAAAACACCAAACACTCAATTTTTATCCTCTTTGTCACGATAAGCCAGTGGCTATACGCGCATGGGTATGTGAGAGCATTTCGAGGGGGAGAATGGACTATTCCGACTCATGGTCATACCAGGACATTTGGGAACTAAGTGGAACGAAATGTTTCTTTTTTCTTACTGGATCACCATTTCCATCGTACTTAAACATACTGCTATCATCAAGTGCAATCAACCACTCCATGACTTTAATAATTGGACACAGAGTTGTCGAGCTCCTTCAATTTGAAGCACAGATTTGATAACCATAGAGCAGAACTAGTTACCCACCCGCACAGCAGTATAAGCAGACTAAAGTCATAACAGCACGAAAGACAAATTGCGTGTATACGAGTGCGCATCACACTGACATAAGGCCATTCTGGATACATGGACATATTAAGTATTTTTACCAGTTTATCTCAAAGAATAATTACTAATATAGGGTCTTCTCTGTCTAGTTAAAATACTCTGCATTTTAGAGATAAAAAAAAACACGCGTTATTTAGCCACAGAGAGGTGATTCAACACTAGTTGAGCAGCCTCGGAAATTAACGAAAAATGATGAGACTATGCTACTGTAATTCTAGTTTAAAAAAATAATTTCATGTACATACTTTGAAGGGAGGTGTTTTTTTTTGTATCGCCAGCTTGCCGGATGTTATAATCAACTTCACAATTAATCTTCTCTAATAGGCAATTCCAAATCATAGTCAGTCTGGACTATTTCTCATGCATTTTGCATAAACTATCAAGTATAACTATAGTAGGAGAGGAGGTGTCTTTTTGATTAAACTATCTACTGAAAAACTTCTCCGTCTCTAAATACCTTGAGTTATTTTTTTTTTGGGGGGGGGGTGGAGGAATTTTACCAGCCAACTCCAATAGTATGTATGTAATTATTTTGATTGAACTGCCAAGCAAAAAGGAAAAACGATTTAAGTTATTCTGTGTTTTATTGTAATCAGTATTGCCAGTTCTGTCATTTTCAATGTTTATGTTAAGAATGCAGGTAAACTATTACAAGTTCGCGTTAGTCAGTAAACGAGAGCGAAAATCTGGCGATACGACAGGCTACTCTAATGTAAGTGTCCCAAACGCCCCCCTTTATTGAGTTGAAGAAGAAGAAGACTTTGTATGAAGCAGAGCGCTCATTCTACAAACATTCAGAAAGTACGAGGTCCCAATGCAGAAGAGAATCAGGATCTGGGTCGGGATTATAAAACGTTACAGATAATGCGTATTTATAAAGTTAGGTTGAATAGGAAACACCATTTGAAGTATGTGACATTGATAGTTAGGACGATCAATTGTTGGAAGAAAACTAGGGGCGGCCAAAACAAAACATGGCAGAAATCTATGAAGTCACTGATAAGTGAACTGAGTCATGTCTGGTAGATGTAGGCTACCTGGTTGGGGTCCGCGAAACGATAGTAACCGATGGTTAGAGACCTTGAACTAGATGGCTCAGAATCGTTCGTAATGTCGCAGGTGCATCCACTCATTGTGTTCTGTGAAATTTTAAGCTTCTGCGTTCCTCATAATCTCTATCTTTCTCCTTCTAAAGTTATCTCATTGAATTATAACTTCTCGAATCATATCTTCGCTACCTAATCTTCTTCATTACTGCTAATACTTCTATTATTGCTATCACTGTTGGATTTGAACTGACAATTGCGTCTCTGTGTTGATGCGGTGGTATGGTGGCAACCTTGGACTGATGTACTTACGTACAAAGTTCTGTGTTGTGCCTGTTTGTCTATCTGACAACTAATAGGAATTAGACTTGAGATATTTTTGTTGCATAATATCTGATCAGTTTATGTATCATGGTTTTTTGTTATGTTTTTCTGTTTGTTTTATTAGGTAAATTTCCCCTTGAAAAAAATTTGAATGTTGTGATAGATTTTATTTCATATCACATTTATATATACATATATATATATGACTACAAAAATTGCAACAGTAGCCAATTTGGCTTTTCATGCATTTCAACAACATTCCATACGTGCTGCTACACTGGGTCCAACAACCACGACAACCGCATCAACCACAACAACAACGACAAACACAACCACAACCACCACTACATCGTCAACATCATCATCATCATCAACAACAGGGAATATGAATAATGGATTAAATGATGTACATACTTGTACAAATGGCAATTCACCAACACATTGTGATCGACCAATTTCACCAAATCATTCTTCATTTAATAAAAAAAATTATCAATTATCCGATGCATTAAATCGTTTATTAGCTTGTGTTCATTTACTTACACCAAAAGATGTTGGTTTTGATGTAAAATTAATATCAGATTCAACTAATATTTCATCAGCACCAGTTGCTTATGTGCATATTATGGAAAATGAAGTATTCTCTATGGGTATATTTATATTAAAACCTGGTTCACGTATACCATTACATGATCATCCTGGAATGTATGGAATTTTAAAAGTTTTAACTGGTTCTGTACGTTGTCGTAGTTTTACTCGTTTAAAAAATGTACAATCTATTATAGATTTAAAAAATTTTCATCATAATCAAACATCATCATCATTATTATTATTATCATCAGTATTTGATGATTCGAAATGGCAATTAACTGATTTAATTATTGCTCGACCACATCAAGATACAGTCTTATCAACAGATCATCAACCATGTTTACTTTTTCCAATTGAAGGTAATCTACATGAAATTACTCCAGTTGATGGTCCTGCTGTATTTCTTGATATACTTGCACCTCCATATGATCATGATTTAGGTACTAGAGAATGTCGTTTTTATAAAGAAATAATTATACCGTCACAAATGAATTCCAATTCGATTTTATCATCACAGAACAGTTTGCATAATAATAATAACAATAATAGCATCAATGAAGATGTTTCATCGTCAACAATAGTTGATTTTTCCGATTCTGGTGATCTATGCTCAAATCAATCGGATAAAGATGCTATTGTTTATTTGATTGAAACAAATCAACCATCAGATTATTGGTGTGAATCTGCTGAATACAATGGACCGAGTGTAGTTTAATTAAACCAAAAACAAGTTGTTGTTATTGTGTGTGTTTGTGTATGTGTGCGTGTGTGTGCGTGGGTTGTTTAAATTTTCACTCAACAAAACAATCATATATACTTATACATAGATATTACATATACATAGATATTAGGTTACTGCTCATGGTTTCGTTAAAATTCCCTTCAACCCCGCCCCCGCCTTCTCATACATCAGCTTATTCCCTTGATTATGTAATAATTTCTAAGATGAAACATAATATTATTAGCTTCAATATTGTGGTTTCAGTTTTTAATGGCATTTTGTTTTTTTTTCTTCTCTCTGTCAATTGTTCATTGCACCAATGAACAACTCGTTAGTCTTCCTGCTTCGCTGTGTGTGTGTGCGTGTGTGAGTGTGTATTCCTTCCTTTTCCCCCCTGTGTTCTTCTGTGTACTATACTACTACTACTAATACTACTACCACTACTACTCATTGAACAATGGGAGACAATGAACAAAAATCAGTTTATCGAAAAAGTTAGAGAGAGAGAGAAAATAAACGAAAGACAAGAAAATTCACTGTACAAAGTTCACTTCATTTCATACGTATACATATATATATATATTGATCATGATTACTTTTATCATTATTATTATTATCTTGATTAGTTAGTTAATGGACCTTATACTTATTCATTCATTCATTCTCTTGTGTTACTTTTCACCCGCGCGCGCGTACACACACACCCAATCCCGCGTACACACTCGTCATGTTTTAGTTTATAAATTTGTTGTTGCTTTTATGGTTTATCCATGTTTCGAAATTATAATTATTATTATTTTTAATGAAAAAAAATACCCAATGTATTCTCCTTGTTCACCTTGTTGTAGTTTTTTTTGGCTGTCGTCTGTTTGTTGTGGCGTTCTCCTTCTCCTCCGCCTTCTTCTTCTTCCCTTCCTTCTTTTTATCTTTGGCGGTGTTAATGACAAGATGAAATCGGTAGAGAGAGAGAGAGAGTGGTAGAATCACATCTTATTGTACACATACACACACACACAGAGAACACACAACACATACAGCTGTTTATTTAATATTTACTTTACTCATTCATTCATCTGAATTAAGTTATTTCGGTTTTATGTATGTATGTGTGTATGTGATGATTCATGCAAACACATAAATTGTTAGTAGTGATGTAATAATTCGATTGCATATTAGAATATTGTAAGTGGTCTTTTGATGTGTTCTTTTGTATTTGTGGTTCTTTCATGTCTTTTGTGATTAGATTCAATCACAGGTACTGGCAACTAACTGGTCAGTCATTCAGTCAGTCAGGTGCAATGTAGAACTTCGTACGTACGTATGTACATCAGTTCATGTTGCCATACCACATTATTAGCACAGAGATGTAATTGTCAATTCAAATCCAATGTTGGTAGAAGTAATAAATGTATTAAGAGTAATCAGAGAGGTTAGGATTAGAAGATATTATTCAAGAAGTACGATTCAGTGAAATAACGTTGAAAACAGAAAGATAAAGGTGATAAGGAATTCAAAAGATTAAGATTTGAGAGAACACATAGAGTGGATGCACCGGCGCCATTGCAAACGGTTTTGAGTCATGTCATTCAGGGTCTCTAACCATCGATTATGATCATCTCGCGAACCCCAACCAGGTAGTCGACATCTACCAAAATGACTCAGTCCACTTATCAATGACATCATGGATTGCTGCCATGTTTTGGTCTGGCCACCCCTAACTTTCTTCCAACCTATTCCTAAACTACAAAACGAAGCTCTTAGAGGCAGTCGGTGGTTAGGCATGCGCAGCACATGTCCCAACCACCTCAACTGATGAAGTTTCATTACTTCATCTATTGATCTGCCATTCTTACCTAGCACCCGATTCCTAATAACAGCATTGCTCACTCGGGTGTCCCAGGATATATGAGCAATGCTTGCTGGCAACTGGATTAAATTATATCGGTAGGTGTAGATTTTGCAATTAGAAATATGGAGAATTATTGTTTGTTACACATTTGAAATCATCAATCAATCATTGTTACACCACCAGGAACCAGCTGGACAGCCGCTTCATCCTGTTATGGGACTCGTCAGCAATGTGCATGCACGACTCCTGCACCTCGCAGGACTCGAACCTGGAACCTTCGGTCTTGCACGTGAACGCGCAACCTCTGAACTACTAGGCCGGCCGGCATCCGACGTTGTTAATTTGTAACTCTTATTGATCTATGGATTTTGCTCTACCTCACCCATTTTTCTTTGGTAGTTACTGCTTTCATATACCAGACAGGATTAAACCCCACTGGTCACATCTCACTAGAACTCCGAAAAATCCCTCACGAAGCTAGTCACTAGACTTACCTGATTAGGGTCCGTGAGTTGATGGTAGTCGATGGTTGAAGACTTTGAATGATATGACTCAAAATCGTTTACAATTGTGCATGTGCATCCATTTTTTGGTGTTCTCTCAAATCATAATATTTTAAATACCTCATCACATCTATCTTCGCGTTTTTAAATTTATCTTATAGTTCTTGAATTATGTCTACGAACCTTAATCTCTCCGATTCCTGCTAAAAACTTCTGCTACCTATCTTCTACCAATGGGTTTGAATTGACGATTGCGTTTCTGTGTGCTAATGTGGTATGGTAACTAGAAATAGTGTACGTACAAAGTACCACGTTCGTCAGCTGACTGGCTGACTTAAAAGTTATCCTCTCCACATTGATCATATTTCATTAATAAGTGCAAAAACACTACGTGTAATGTAAATTTTATAAATATGTGCACAAGTTTATGTAACAATATTAGAAAAAAACACGTACTTCAAACATTGTCCAGGTTGCAATTAAATAGAAGGTCATACTATGTTTGTTCGTGTATGGCATTTATTCCGTAAAAAAGAAGAAACGTCACTAGCTAAGAATGTGACTTTATTTTCTGATGTAAGAAGCTCATTAAAGTTACCTGTTTGATCCGGTATGTATGGGAAATTTGTATATCAGAATCGGGTATCACATGCCTTCATATAACTAACTGCTGCATAGAAAAGAAACTAAATTACTGATCAACCGTTGTGTCTATTGGCCTTATGTCTTAATGTGTATTTATTCCAAGGCGGAGTGTCTTAACATTGGAAATATTTCATTTTTGTTCTGAATCAGTCGAAGAAGAATTTATCTTAGGCTTTATCTTTGCTAACGATTGAAAGTCATGATTACTGGATGGGTGGGTACACCACAGTATTACCACTTTAGCTTTCTAATATGCCATGGAAGGTGTGGGGCAGCAGATCATATGTTGTACCAAGACTGCATTTGAAGTAACGGCAGCGAACTTGCTATTGTGTATTTATTGTTCAATAAACTTAGAGTATTCAATTCGAACCAAGCATGTTTGGGAATGTGATGTTATGGGATCATGGTACATCTACTACTTATCTAGAATGACGATATCGAATATGAACTGTATAAAGTGGTAAGTACTAGCGAGGTGAACAGTAAGTTGGATTATTAAAAAGAAACACTCAAGTGAGAATGGGACAATGAAAAAGGCGTCCATGAGTTTACAGAAACACAAAATGGAGTAGTGTTGCATTGCGGTACTTTTATTAGGGGGTGTAGAAAGGATTTGTTTGTGACCAATTTGGTCTCCTGCTGTTACGGCTATGAGGGCGGTTGTCACTTCCCGGCTGCCCACACCATGGAAGGTTGTTTCTTAAGGGACCTGAGAAAGAAGGTAGGTTAGTGTCGGCCTTAGAGACCTGGCAGCGTGACCGCAGAGCCCAAGGAACAACTGCTTGAGGCCGGTCACGCACGGACTTTTTATGAAATGTTTTTTGAGTATGAGCCCCGCTCTTAAAAGCCCTCAGTGGGCACCCTTACCTCCGTACACGGAAATCCGTGAGGAAGGGTGAGGTGTGACATTTTTAGGGTCGACATTTTCTAACCCTTCCTTCCTCGTGAGAAGGCAGCATCGCTGCAGATGTTGGTTGTCTGAGGGAAATACCTTAATGCTGTCATCTCACTGAATTATACTTCTCGACTCATATCTTGGCTCCCTAATCTTCTCCATTGCTGCTAATACTTCTACCACCGCTATCACACTTGGATTTGAAATGACAGTTGCGTCTCCGTGCTGATGTGGTATGGCAACCTGAACTGACGTACTTATGTACAAAGTTCTGTGTTGTATCTATCTGTCTGCAGTACTTTTATTACGATTAGATTTGTAGTGACTATTTTTATTTAAGGTAATAAAGATTAAAGTCTAACAATAACTTGGCATTTTGGATGTTAGAGTTCGGTTTATTATTATAAAATTTAGAGTTATGATCTGATAGAAAGATTACAATACTACGATTAAGTAGTGTTTAAATAATAAAGCGGTGTAGGGAAATCAAATTAATGAGTTGATAGTTCTAGTTCTAGTGTAAATGGAGTGGTAGGTATTTAGTCAACGCATAAAACTATAGGCAGACGAAGTGCGAATCATGTGTGGATGCCGAAGATCAATTGATGAATGAATCATCGAATTAATTCAACGTTTAACATTAAAAAGTGAATAGAATGAATTTGTAGCACATATGTGGTTAGCAATGTTCAATCATTACCTGCTCATACAAGCACTTTTATGGCTGTGAAAGATGGCCAGTCAGAGTAGAAGATATTCGTAGGTTACTGGTTTTCGATCATAGGTGTCTTCGAAGCATTGCTCGTCTGTCCTGGGACACCCGAGTGAGCTGAAGTGGTTGGGACATGTGTTGCGTATGCCTAACCACCGACTGCCTCGACGAGCTTTGTTTTGTAGTGTTGTAGGAATAGGTTGGAAGTAAGTTAGGGGTGGCCAAACCAAAACATGGCACAAATCCATGAAGTCATTGACAAGTGGATTGAGTCATGTCGGTAGTTGTCGACTACCTGGTTGGGTTCCACGAGATGACAGTAGTCGATGGTTAGAGACCTTGAACGACATGGTTCAGAATCGTTTGCAATGGTGCAGGTGCATTCATGCTTTGTATTCTCTCAAATCCTAATCTTCTGGATTCTTCAACACCTCTAGTTTTGTCTTTCTAAACTTATCTCACTGAATCATACTTATTGAATAATATCTTCTAATCCTAACCTCTCCGATTACTGCTAATACCCTTTGCTACCTCTACTATTATAGGATTTGAATTGACAATTACATCTCTGTGCTAATAATGTGGTATGGCAACATGAACTGATGTATTTACGTACGAAGTGCTACGTCGTAACTGATTGACTGACTGACATTAGTTGCCATACCACATCAACACACAAAGAACGAATTACTAATTCAAATCCCATAGTAGTAGAAGTAGCAGAAGCATTAGCATTAATCGGAGAGATTAAGGTTCGTAGATATGATTCAAGAACTATAATCCAATATAATAAATTTGAAGACAGAAAGATAAAGGTGATAAGGAATTCAAAAGATTAAGATTTGAGAGAACACATACATAATATCTTCTAATCCTAACCTCTCTGATTACTTCTAATACCTTTACTACCTCTACTACTATTGGATTTGAATTGACAATTGCGTCTCTGTGCTAATAACGTGGTATGGCAACATGAACTGATGTACATACGTACGTACGAAGTTCTACGTTTCATCTGACATACAAGCACAACGATGATAACAGTATAGATAAGTATTATTGCACAATACAAAATGACTCAGTCTCTGTTCAATCAAGTTAAGGTAATCAAAAAGGCTTAGCCAATTCAAATGACTATATGAGGTACTCGCTACAAACGCATACGATTTTAATGAATGGAATATAGATGAGTTGTAAATCACTTAAATGAATGTTATTTTGGGGCAGAGTTTTGAAGGTTTGCGTTTTTATACACTTGAAATCATGAATCAATCATTGTTAGACCACGATTAGAAACCTGGGAGCACTGGACGGCCGTTTCGTACTGATATGGGACTCATCAGCAGTGCGCATCCACAACTCCTGCACCTCCTAGGATTCGAACCCGGGACCTCCGGCATTGTAGGCGAACGCCTTACCATCGGACCACTGGGCCGGTGTTAATGTCTAACTCTGATGTGGTGTACAATTTTTTTTGAAATGAATACAGAAATATCCAAATTATGAATAGACGATTAGAGATGTATTTAGAAATAATAGTGATAAATTTAGAAATGAAACAATTATCGAAGGTATGCTGTTTAGTTGCGTAAATGAGCGATTTACACTCT